GCGATTTAAGTTTCGATAGCATCTGCAGGACTTGCATGCATGTGGTAGCTGAAGAGGAAACGTTTGCCGCCACAACCGCAGAGATAAAGTGCCACTCTATCTTCGATACGGTTGCAGAATGCGGCACCATGCGAGTCGTTGAATTACTATCAACCACTACACCGCAACTACAAGTAAACTTCAGTGATGAATTGCCACAAAAAATTTGCCGAGAATGTTTAAAGCTTTTACTGAGCGTATATCGCTTCCAGCAAATGTGCAGACAATCTGAACAACAAATGCGCGAAATATTAGATAAAAGATATCTTGATGTAAAACTGATGATCCCAGTGCTATTGACGGAAAGTACAGAAGGGCCAAAGCAGATTTCAATGGTGGACGCCAAAGAGGGAGAAATTGTGACCGAGGCTGTTGAAGTGCCGTTGGCTAATGACCCATTGCAAAACGACCAATTTCTGAAAATCGAGGAGTTTATTGATAGAGATGAATGCATTTGTGAAGATAAAACGAATGAGGCATCAGCAGTGGGGACTAACTTAGTTGATAGTAGTCTAGTAGCTAGTTGTACAAGCGACATGCCCAACTTTCGTGCTGGAAAAGAAAGTAACTTTAAAAAGTATGTAATAAATGTTTAAAAGGAACAAATAAACGAGGCGTAAGATTGATTGAATACGGACAACTTTGATAATGATATGTATTACTAGTTTCAGCACGCATACACATTCCTGCAGCAAGTGCAATAAATCGTTTTCCCAGCGCCGGCTTCTAAATAGGCACTTGAAACGGCATGAAAAATGGGAGGAGAGCAAAAATTTGCCTGTAAAGCCTTTAAATACAGATCAGCGTATTCAAATTAAGTGTGATATTTGTGGGCGCCGATTCAACAAACCAGAATCACTGCACGAACATAAGCAGAAACATGCTGATCAACCGCAAGGGGAAGCAAAAAAGATATACGCCTGTGATTTATGTGACAAAACATATAGTTCTAAGCGTATGTTGGCCTACCATAAAAAACGAAGTCATTCTGAAGGACCCTCTATTGCAGCACCGGCGCGTCATGTTTGTGAATTTTGCAATAAAGGAAAGTTTAATTGCTAATATGTGATGCATATTTTTTCAAAATACATAAATATTTATTGCAGGCTTTCAATTTCGTGCTAGCCTAGTTGACCATCTCCGTACGCATACAGGCGAGAGACCGTTCTTGTGTTCGTTGTGTGGCAAATCATTTAGATGTTCAAGGTATTATAAAGATTATCGCAGCAGACTAATGAAAAATTGATTAATTTATTGATGCCTTTCGCAGCAATATGAAGCAGCATTTAATACGGCATTCGGGCGTCAAGCGGTTCGAGTGTCCCGAATGCCCCAAAAAGTTTGCTTGCAACAGCGATTTGTCTAAGCACAAAGTCATACATCGCCTGATCAAGCCGCATAATTGCGACATTTGTAGTGCTTCATTTGCTAAAAGTTATGATTTAAAGGCACATAAAATGTACCACAACGGCGACAAACCGTACAAATGCAAATACTGTGACATGCGGTAAGTTAAGCAAGTCGGGTGAAGTAATATTTATATAATTTTTCTGAGTTTAATTTTTGATTCTGTCGACTAGATTTGTTTTAATGGACAAACAGCGCCGCCATATGCGTACTCATACCGGCGAAAAGCCCTACAAATGCAAGTACTGTGAACGCGCTTTTGCCCAAAGTAACGACCTAATCAAACATTTGCGAAATCACCTCGGTGAAAATGTTTATAAATGCGAGTTGTGTCCCAGCGCTTTCCGGTTGGCTGCTGAGCTGCGGGTACACTTTGCTTTACATAAAAACGATGATGAAGAGACTCGCGCTCGAAATATGCTGGCAGTTAAAGAGGACGCTAGCTTAGGTTTACATTTGAGACCTAATGGCTTCATGAGCACAACTAATAGCTGAAGAAGTTGATAATGAAATAATTTAGGTTGGAGCTGTGTCCAAAAAGAGAAATTTGGTTTTGATTCAGCTTTTTTTAATTCCGTTTTTAAAGAGACTTGTGATGACATCCTCTATATTTATCTTTAATTTCCTTTTTTTAAAACCTTGCTTAATTTTTTGAGTAGTGTATTTTAAGACAGAGATCGCCGAAATTCCTAACTGACGAAAAAAGCCTTGATCTTCCTCACTACAACTCAGTTCAAGTGCAGTCAATTTTAATTTCCTCTTCTGTGAGTTAATAAAAAATTATAGTTTAAAAAACTAAAACCTCCCTATTATAATTGCCATTCGTACTGTCATCAGGTATGTAACTTGAGAATAGAAATCGCTGCATCTTTTAGGCGCATCAATATTACATAGTTACATCCCGAGCTAATAAAAGGAAGGTAAAAAGCCCTAGTATTTATTTAGTATAGCGGCATCTATGTTTGTGATTTCCACTTATAGCGCCATCTGTATCCTAATTAGTTATCTGTCTGGTTTCAGAAGTTCAAGTGCAATTCGTGCTAGAGGTGGCAAGCTATCGATATTCGGCTGATTTCTTCGCTTTACATGAATTTTTTTTTTGCTTATACTGATTTGACAGCACACCCATCAAAAGCAAAAACAAAATACATGTAAACTTTGGGGCGAATTGAGATTTGACATAACACCCGCAATACAAAATACATGTCTATAAGTTTTGCAACAAGATGAATTTATACAAGGTGGTGTTACTGGCGAATTTAGATTATGGCCTTGACCAAGGCGAACCTATACAATAAGGCGAATTTATACAAGGTGGTTTTACTGGCGAATTAATATTTTCGCCGTGTTTGTTGTAATATGAATTCGCCTTGTTTACAACAAACACTACATTTTGAGATTCAGAAGGACCGCGGCCATAATCTAAATTCGCCAGTAACACCACCTTATATAAATTCGCCTTGCTATACAAGGTGGTGTTACTGGCGAATTGGACTTTCGCTGTGGGCGTACAGATTGTCAAAATGATGTGTTGTAATAAGAATTCGCCTTGTTAACAACAAACACATCGTAACTTTAACTAATAATTTTGTTCTTTAAGTAAAAATTCAATGCTGAACTAATTAGTTTTTCATGAAAATTGGTAGAAATCCTAAAATATACATGTCATCTCGAAAGCGATTTGGGTAATTTCAGTTGAGGCTACACCTTGAATTTTTATTTCCGAAAGTGATTTGATTTACACAGGAAAGTATACTTTCGCTTTCACATTTTGACAGCAAGATGCGGAGGTGTACTTCTAGTCTGTAAGATTGTAAATCATAGACTGAATAAAGATGAAATATGAAAAGCGCTTGCATTGCCACGTTTAACCGAACTCAACCGAACTTTTACAATTTTTATTTCCGAAAGTTATTTCTGCAAATCGTCCCAAAATGGCTTTCTGCCTCTCTACACGGGAAAGTAGACTTCGATTTCGCATTTTGAGCGCAAAATGCGATGGAAAAGCGCATGCATTGCCACGTCTAACAGCACTTTTAGCTAAAGGTGTCAAACTATCGATAGTCACACCATCGATGGTTTTGATAGTTTTCAGAAAAACTATCAATATTCACGATAGTCTCGAAAAAAACAAAACTATCGATAGCGCTGAATCAGTTAGGTTGCTTTGTTTTTACAGGATCATAGTGAAATAAATATTATCTTATAAAAGTTATAATCGTTCAAAATTAAGTAAATGCTTAGCCAAAATACTTCTCTTTTTAGAAAGTTCAAAAACAAACACAAGTTATACAAACAAAACAGGATTTATGATTAACATATGTATGTATTTTGGCCTAAATGCGTGCATATTTGAATATGACGTCGGCATCACATTAAAAAACAAAATTTTTAATTCAAATTAAAAAATTCAAATAATTTCAAAATAATTGGTAGAGATGATCGATAGTCCTACTAAACTATCGATATTTTTTATAGTATAAGAAAAAACTATCAATGAGTATTGATAGTCTAAAAAAATAGAAACTATCGATACTATCGATAGTGCCATCGATAGTTTGACAACTCTACTTTTAGCTGAACAGCTGGTGACTCTAGTTTTATATGACAGCTATCTAGGAAGTGCTTTATTTTTTGTATTTTGTTTAAAAGTTAAAAAAAAGTTAATTTATCAAAAGTATTAACACAAAAATAGAAAATGGATTTTATAAAATTTGAAAGCGCGCGAGACAAAGAGAGGATACGGCAAGAGCTTCGAGAAGCCAGGGATCAAATGCTTGACCAGGTGATATCTGATTTTATTCCGAATCAATTTATAAAAATTATCTGATAATTTTTTACATACATATGCATGTACATTTGCTATAAGTTTATGAAAATAATATCGGATAATTTTATATATACATATGAACATCATAAAAAGGCCAAGCTGCGTAGAGAGCAAAGGTTGCAACGCGACGCGGCACGGGAGTTACGTGGGGAGACTAACTGGATGCTTCCAAAAGTAGCGTCGAAAATTGACAAGCTTGGCAAAAGAGCCAGTGAATCTAAACGATCAAAGAAGAGGAAGGAGAAGGTCACATCAAAAAAAACTACGAAAAGAGGTAAGCATAGCAAAAAACGGAAGAAGTACTCTTCTACAGAGTCGGACCCGGATACCTCGGAAGTAGACAGTGACGATAGTTCATCCGACGGCGAGCCGAGCGGTTCTTCCAAGAAAAAGAAGAAGAGGAATAAGAAAAAAGAATATTCATCTTCGGGGACAGACTCATGGGATATGCCAAGTGATGAAAGTACATCCGGGGATGAGAAGAAAAAATCAAATAAAACGACTTCCAATAAGCAAAATAAAGGCAAGGAAAGTTCATCAACATCTACTTCGGATTCGGATAGTTCATCGGATACTGATAGTAGTTCAAATAGTTCTTCCGAAGAAGACGTCAGAAAAAAGTTGAAAAAGGAGCTTAGACGCAAACGGTGCGGATCAACAAATGGTAACAAAAATAGTACCAAAAAAGACAGTGATAACGATGAACTAGAAAAATGGGTTGAAAAGCCGCTCCCAATTATAAATTCTTCTGCGCCATTAACACGTGACAGCTGGATGACGGATACTTTGCTGTTGAAGACATTTAGCAAGGAGCGAAAAGATAAATCCGCTGATAAACAAACTTATGAAGCTTACGATCCTGCTAAAAGCACACGTGAGCTTAATCCGTATTGGAAAACAACTGGCACCGGTTTGCCAGGCTTTAAAAAGCCAACGGAGGAGAATGAAGATGACAGTGATGATGAGCGGCTAACAGAGGCTTTTGCGTCTGCTTCAGATAAGGCCAGTGGAAGTGGTGCATCAAGAAGCTGGCGAAAGACTATGATTGATTTGCAGTCTGGGAAGAAAGAAGCAGCCTTCATGTCTATATACAGTTCAGAGAGTAGTGATGGCGAAGAGAAAGGAGCGAAAAAATCCGCTATAGGAACGAACTTTCTAACTGATCAGCAAATGAATGAGTTGGGCGCAAAGCTGCTGAAGGCAGAAATTATGGGAAACAACGAATTGGCCGCTGAGCTCAAACTGAAATTGGAAAATGCAAGAAAAGATCGTGCAGCCTTTAAAGAGCGTAAAATTGCGCAACCTACAACAACCAGCGGTAGATCTAGAGAGCAAACAGAAGAGAAGGAAGAAGAGCATGTATTGCTCATGCGAACCGATGAACGCGGAAATACACGTCCTCTGGAACAGGCATCACGCGATGTTAATGAACGTGACTTGTATGGCGGCCGTAATGCTCGCAAAAAGCAGAGGCGGCTTGAGACACATGCGCCAGATGGTGAGCGCATGCGTTACTTTCCTGACGATGACAAGTATGATATTAAACAAATGGTAAGCTGTGTTTAAATTTGTGTCTGAAAATTAAGATCGCTTCTAATTTTATTTCAATAGTTTGAACATGAGAAATATACGAGTGCAACCGATGCAAATTTGGAATTCGCAAAAATTGCTGGTAAGCATAAAAATCCAAATGATGATTTGGACGACATATTCGCTGATGAGGTGCGGCAAGACGTTTCGCGGTCTTCTACTGATCGTAAAGAAATGCAACGCGCTATTAATGAGCATCAACGTCTATCGGCACAATTGGACAACTGCAGATTTTGTTTCGATTCAGCAAAAATGGATAAAAGTTTGCTTGTGTCAATGGGTGAGCAGGTCTACCTAGCTTTGCCATGGCATATAGGTTTGCAACCTGGACATTGCATTATTAGCACTACACAGCATGTCAGTTGCTGCACTCAATTGGATGAAAACACTTGGTCGGAAGTCAATGATTTTTTAAAAGCGCTTACGCAAATGTTTGCTGCGCAGAAAAGGGACATAGTGTTCTTTGAAATCGCAAGTCATCTCTCACGTCGACCTCATCTCAATATACACTGTGTACCAATACCAGACAAGCAGGCGGAAATGGTTCCTTTCTACTTTAAGAAAGCTGTCGAAGAATCGGAGCTTGAGTGGAGCGTAAATAAGCAGTTAATATCCTTGGGTCGAGATGGAAAGGGTTTACGTAATTGTATTCCCAAGGGACTGCCATATTTTTGGGTTAATTTTGGAATTGCATCGGGGTTTGCGCATGTAATCGAAGATGAAGATCGATTTCCGGCAAATTTTGCGTTGGTAAGGCAGAGATGTGGTTTGTTTATTAAATATATGTATACTGACTTCCGCATCCGTATCTTCATTTTACAGGAAATCATTGGGGGTATTTTGGAGTTGGATGCGAAAAAATGGCGTAAGCCACAAAAAGAACAAAACACTATAGCGAAAGTTAAAATGTTTGCCGACTGGTGGAGGAAATACGATTGCACCAAGTAAACTAAGAAATAGATTTCTTTCATGAAAGAGGTGTATTTAAAAATCGCATGTATATTGAATTTTTCCGCAAAAAATCATAACGCATTAAAAATTGTAGTAAACTTAAATCACCAATTACAATAATAATAATAACTAATTATTGCATTAAAATTTAAATTATTGCATTAAAATTTTTAATTTTTAACCGACTTCAAAAAAGGAGCAGGTTATAATTCGTCGGAATATATATGTATATATATATATATATATATTTATTTATTTATTTTTTTTTTTGTATGTTACCGCTAACTTTGGACCACGTTAACCAATTTATATAAATCTTTTTTAAAGGAAAAGTGTGACCAGGTGGTCCCATACTAATTTGGTTTAAATCCGATCATTGGATCATGAAGAAAGTAACGATAATCTTAAATTTTTATATGAGAATTGAAGCCTGATTAGTTGTTTGCCGAAACTAATTTTGTTTAGATCCGATAATTGAATCATGAAGAAACTAATGGTAATCTTACATTTTGATATGAGAATTGAGGTCGGTTTTGTTTTTTTGCTTAAAAATTGAGTGTCACGTAACGCCACCAAATGCCTGGGTTATAATGGAAGTAACGGAACGGAGTGAACTGTCACTTAATTATCTATTGTATGGGAAAGGAATGCAAATGGTTATAATGCACGTAACGTAACGTAAAACGGAACAATCTTAAATCAATAGATCCTCACGAAATCGCCGCGATTTGTTACGATTCGCCCCGACCCAAGGCGAATTTATGCAAGGTGGTGTTGATGGCGAATTAAATTTTCGCCGCGGTACTACTGAATGTCAAAACAATGTGTTTGTTGTAAACAAGGCGAATTCATTTTACAACAAACACATCATTTTGACATTAACCGCCCTATTCCCACAACACTGACAAAATTCATCATATGACTAT